TTATTGCCCATTAATAAGCGAACAGTTAACTGATGTGAAAAAGTAGATGTTCACTCTATCTGTGTTGCCTGTATAAAAAGTTTCCTCGGGTCGTATTTTCCGTGAAAGCCCCAGGAAGTGACATTTTATGCACGTTCTCAACTTCCTCCTCACTCCGCTCCGCTTACAGAGATTAACATTACAAACTCCCACTACAGCCAGAGGCCGCCTTCCACACACTTCTATCCGCCCTAGGAGCTCTCAAAGGCGGACAAACTCATAACACACTCCTGCTCTCAGCCAGTGCTTGAAGAGACTGTCGTTTGTAGGATGGAGAATGAATACAGACACACAGACTCCTTCACAAACTTTCAAATGTGTATGACCACTTACCTCCTCTGTAAACATTATGCCGGTAAATATCCAGTGTTTCGCAGCAGATGATGATGCTCGTTTGTGTATGTGATGGCTTCAAACAAAATCAATTAGGTAAGCAATTGCTGAGCGGGTTTACACGCTATCAAATAAAAAACAAAAGGCAGCCGCGGATTCAAAGAAGAGATCTGCTAGGTACTGTACCTATCTCCATCTTCTGTGTAAAGGGCGGTAGATCTGGAGACACTCTGTCCTCCGGAAGATCAGCCATTTTCTGCTCGCCAACCTTCGCTTGCATGCGGCGGCAGAGGACACAGTTCTTAATGATCCGTCTTGCAGATGAGTTTGCATGAGGCAACCAGAATCTTTGCTGTAGTCTGGAGAGCATGTGGCTTCTCCCTGAGTGCCCAGTCTGCAGATGGATATTTTGCAGAAGTAGTTTGGATATGTGAGAGTTTTTGGGAAGTATAATTGGATTCTTTAAGTCTAAAGGCATTGCACTTGCCTATTCTCCCTCCACAACAGTGTACGCACGAGCACGAGAGGGAGAGCAAGCAACAGTTTACTGGTGCAGTTTACCTATGCGGTATCGCTACAAACGCAGTATTTTTGAAAGTTACACATAGCCCCTTTAAACATACCTGGCCAATAAAGCTGATTCTGATTCTGATATTCTTTGTTTCAAGTACCTCTACTTTCAAATTTAAGATTGTGTCATTCTGTCTATAGACTTTGTTGCTTTCTCCAGACTCACATCTGCACCTCCTGTGGCTGAAGTAATTCAATTCAATTGTTCTGGCAGGCCGTCAACCAACGATCTTGAGGAGCCTAAGAGAGCTCAAGAGCTCTCAGGAAAGTAGGTGGTTAGTGACTGAGATTTACAGATAGATACATGCAGTAATATGATGTACTGTATATGCACAGAGAGAGAGAGAGAGAGAGAGAGAGAGAGAGAGAGGAGCTCAAGGTGCCAGTTTCCCCGGTAGTCTAAGCCTATAGCAGCATAACTAAGAGCTGGTCTACACCAGCACTAACTATAAGATTTATCTATTCTTAAAAATACAGACTGTGTCTGCCTCCCGGTCCCCGGCTGGAAGGCGGTTCCAGAGGAGAGGAGCCCGATAACTGAAGGCTTTACCCCCCATAGTACACTTGGAGACTGTAGGTACCACCAGCAGGCCTGCACTTCGGGACCGCAACGCTCTCGAGGGACAGTACGGCACTAGTAGCTCCTTCAGGTAGGATGGTGCCTGGCCATTTAGCGCTTTGTAGGTGAGAAGAAGGATCTTGAATTCTATTCTAGACTGTATAGGGAGCCAGTGCAGAGAAGCCAACACAGGAGTAATGTGGTCCCATTTCCTGGTTCTGGTCAGTACACGAGCTGCAGCGTTCTGGACCAGTTGAAGAGTCTTTAGAGATTTGCCAGAGCACCCTGACAAAAGAGAATTACAATAATCCAGTCTGGAGGTAACAAATGCATGAACTAGTTTTTCTGCATCATTTTGCGACAGGATATTCCTGATCTTGGATATATTACGGAGGTGAAAATAGGCTGTTCTTCTTTACCAAAGGTCTACAAGCACACAGAAATAAACACTTTTAAACAATTGACAGATTGATGGTTTTTGTCTATGTAATTATTTAATTGGCATGGCAAACGCAAGTAGTTCTGTAATTATAGCACAGAACTAGACTGTTGTCAGGCAACATGCTGCCACTTTGTGTATATCTTCATGTTATTGAAGACCAGCTGCTTCGTGTTATGTACATTTATACGTTTCCACTTATTGTGCAACCACTGAAGTCACTCGGTTGACGCCTCATTTTGTGGCATGTGGGATTTTAAGCTTGATCAATATAAAAACCATAATATATAATCTAAATTGTATTACCATTAAGTGGAGTATCAAAAGTATGAGTGTTGTGCTTTAAAGCCCTGCTTAAGGATTAACTTGGTTAAAACGAACTGTTGTTTGAGTGCTAATACATCAGATATGAGGCTAACAATAAGGGTAAGTAGAACTACCAATGAAAAGCAGTGCATGTCATTCGGTCATTACAGCTCCTTCTGCCCAGTAACAGCCTTTTGTCCCTGCTCCAAATGTTACAGATTAACTTGCTGTATGGAGGTTTAAGTGCTCCAAGCGGGTGGCCTGGGTCTGAATCAGACCTGTGGTTACTTTCTCGCATGTCATTCCTCTCTCTCTCTCTCTCTCGATTTCTGGTTCTATATCCACTGTGCTATCTCTAAATAAAGGAATGAAAAGCCATCCTTAAGTATTGGAAGAAAATAAAATATATCTGTACATACAGGTTCATGTCCTCCTCCCCTTTCTGACATTTTTTCTTTGCAGCTATTCCTTAAAAGCTAAAAGTAGCAGCATGCCAAAAATAAGCCCTTGTCTTTTTAATAGCATTAAGGTATTTACAGATTGATCCCAGTTGTTCTCTGACTCTGACCCACAGTTAGCCCTGACGTGGTTCATTAAATATAGATATTCTGAGGCATGTGTTTCCCCTGGTGCTTGATAGAATGCTAGACACTTTGTTCAAAGATAATTAATGCGATAATTGCTTTTCCAATAAGTGCAGCTTCACAAAATGTGATTCAAACTGATTTAAGACCATCCCAGTGGTACAAAATACTTTCTCAGATACTAAACCTGCAAGTTCAGAGTCACTGATGGTTATGGCGATGGGGGGGCTGTGTTTTTCCTGAAGTCCGCAACCATCTCCACTGTCTTCAGAGCATAAAGCTCTAGATTGTTCACCGCACAAGGCCACCAGATGGTCAGCCTCCCACCTGTTGGCAGACTCATCCCCACCAGAGATGAGTCCAATGAGGGTGGGGTCATCTGCAAACTTTGACAGGCTGGTGACTGGAGGTGCAGCTGTCACTCCCCACTCTGTTTTTTCACTTATTTACGACTATTCATTATCCTGTTTCTTAATAAAATAAAGAAACAAAAAAGGCCAGAAAAGAAATCTAACAAAATAAAAGAAATAGCATGAATTTCACTGATCACTAATATTGTACTGAGCCTATTTTAACAAAATAATTTAAGATAAAGATAATCCTCCTAATGATCCCTAAATAGTTTATTTGTGCACACACTGATCTTGCGACTGTAATCATGGTCAGGAAAACTAATGTTACTCGGATTAAAATCCTTTACTCTTTATGGGAGCAATTTATAGATTTCATTAAAAATGACAATACATTTGACCTGTTTTCTGTTTCTATGTTCACACTGCTCACTCCTGTTGTCTGTCCACATTGGATGAGAGCAGTAAAATGTCCTCACGACCCACCTAATCATTGCTTTGCACTGCAATGTAAGATTGTATTTTTTTTCTTCCACTGATTACACGCACTATCAAACCCCTGCAGATGATACAAAATGCAGCAGCACGACTGGTCTTCAACCTTCCTGAAAGAGCACATGTCACTCCGCTGTTCATCTCCTTACACTGGCTCCCAGTTACTGCTCGCATCAAATTTAAAACTCTGCTGCTCGCTTACAAAACAGCGACAAAAACGTCTCCTCCTCACTTTAACACTTTCATCCAGGTTTACACTCCCTCCTGCCCACTACGCTCTGCCAATGAAAGGCATTTGATCCAACCTTCACAACAGGGTCCTAAGACGCTAACTAGACTCTTCTCCTCTGTTGCCCCCCGGTGGTGGAATGAACTACCAAACTCCATTCGATCTGCGGAGTCCCTCTGCACCTTTAAGAAAAAGCTAAAAACCCAGCTCTTTAATGAATACCTACTAACTTAATGATGATGGTCTCGATATTAATGATGATGATGATGGTTGTGACGATTGTTTTTGTTTGATAACGGCGTCTCTAAGATGGTTTCTATAGTGATTAGAGCTCTCAAGAACTGCCATCAATGTTGTGCTTTGCCTCTGTGCAATGCCTGTCAGCACCTGTGTGTCCAATCGGACTCAAAGCTGATCGGTTGCAATTACTGACCTTGCTTGTGTTGTACTTACTCTCTGATGTACGTCGCTTTGGATAAAAGCGTCTGCTAAGTGAATTGTAGAATTGATGAAATGTGCTGGGGGATTTCAGACACAACTAATGACAGTTAACCCCATTTGAACTTTCATGATCTGTTGGTCTGATTACCTCAACATCGTTAACAAACACAGGGAGGGAAATATAGTTCAACTTTGGCGAAAGATTGTTGGCATTGACTTGAATGACGTTGGGCATGTTTTTCAGGTAGCTAGGAGCCACTCAGAAGGCAATAGCCATCATAAAAGACCCTCACCACCCTCTTTACAGAGTTTAAACTTCTGCCAACAGGTAGGAGATTCACTTACAGGAGGGTGAAATCGAGTAGATATCGGAGGTAATTCTGAAGGATTTTTCCAATGCAAAATCCAATCCAATGCTTTGATTTGGTACAATGTGACATAATGTAAGAGTGCATAGGTTGACATGATGAGCTGACCGTCTTATATCAATAAGACGGTCAGCTCATCATGTCTGATTTTCTATTTTAATAAAAGTGAGATATCCAGCCCCTGTTTCCACTAGGGGGATCATTGCGCTGATTTTACAGCTATCACTTTCAGATTGAGTTATTCAGTGGAAAAAGACAAAGGACTTTGATCACACTATGAGATAGATTTATGTTCAAATAAAAGCCGCTTACAAAAAAATGTGTGAAATTTGACAAGTACCGATTGACTGAGATATTTAAATACTTTATTCCCACTGTTAATTTTCCATAGTTTTAGCAGAGAATCTACTGTATAAGACTTCTTGGATAAAACGTTTCACATTATCTGATGATAGACTTCCGCATGCGGTGTAAATGTTTGTGAGGCTGATGTATACTCTGCCAGGTTCTCCTGGGACTCTGGGCAGGCAGAAAGAGGAGTAATATTCTACAAGTCAATAACGGATCTATCGGGGGACCTCGTGGCAGCGCTTATAACGCGTGAGTGGATGATGTGGTGTGTTTACTGTCTCAGGAGCCTCGGTGCTCATTCCAGGAGCATTGAGCGGGGCAGACGGACGCACAGTCGCTCTGTAGAGTGACTGAATGAGCTACTGTGGAAGAAACAGAAGATGCAAAAGAAGATGTCAGTGGCATTGAAGAGGGGAATAAGCGCCAAAGCCGAGTCTAGAAAATGCGAAGCGCGTTTTTGGAGGCTTTTTCCTCACCTTGTGCTGTGTCTGTCCCTGGTCGGGTACGCAGCGCTCGGTGCGCTTATGTTTAAGCACATTGAAGGAGGGGTCGAGTCCACTCAAAAGCTCGAGTTCCATAAGTTTCTGGGGAATATTGTCGACACGGTCCAAAACCTCACAGGTAAGTGACCAGAAATATCTGTGATGCAATCTAATATGCCTAACTCAATCTTAAATATGAGCGCATTTTTGGACTCACATGTTCAACGAGTTTTATTTAAATATAATTTTTGTAGATTTTGTTTCCATTGTAATGCTGGTGATCTTATTTGGACCCATGCGTATGTACTTGACTATAATCATGTTTACTCATCTATTCTACAGTAAATCCCTTTTTTCCCCCCATAGAAAACGTCTCCTACACACATGAGGCTATAATAATGGAAGTGGAGGGTAAAATGCGAGGTGAGTTTAAGTCCACTTGGCTCCAGAGCCCGGAGAGATGGAATTTTTCTCGATCCCTGTTCTTCTGCTGCACAGTGTTCACAACAGTGGGTAGGTGAATGAATTAATGCATAGGGTGACTATGGGTAAAGTGGGACACTTTCTGAAATTTTGCCTTCTGTGTCGATTTTTAATTATGATGTATTTGTCAAATCCCCTCATATTATACTATTCTAAATAGCGCAAGAGCTCTTCTATACTATAGAGAAGAAAGAATAGAGAAATATTAAACACTGGACAGATGGCTCTTATTCAGACAAATATTGACCCTAAACAAAAATTTCCCTGGGACTATTGGCAAAGTGGGACACCTACAATTGGTAAACTGGGACAAAAACACATACAGTTTTTTCAATTAAAAACACAATAATGATATCAATAACAACAATTATCACTTTTAAAATAATTTGATATTAAAATTTAAATAAGGAACCTTCATAAAAATCTCATAGATCATTAATTACACTACGCTATATTTAATTGCAAACACAGGCATCAGCCCCCTCCTATAGGTGAACATAAATATCTGGTATAGAGTCAAAGGAAGCAATGTAGAAAAGTGAGAAAACATGTAGACCAAGCCGATCCAAGTGAACAACTAATTCAACGTTAAGTTTGATAGGACACACCAGCGGAAAAGCTTGAGTCAAAATTACTTTTACTTTGTTTGATGGCCTAAGTCACTTATCGAAACAACCATGGCATTTTGTTTTATTGTTTTATTTATCTCCTTTCTCTTCTGCCTCCTTTCCCATCTCATTTCTACCATTGAATTCTAAAATATTATTATCATAGTTAGCATTAGTATGTCACCCTGAAGTTGGTAAATTGACAATATTAACTATAGCCTAGCTATTTATTTTTATATCTGTATGCTACTTTTTCATGTTAGCAATTAGCATTAAAGTAAATACAAATTTATGTAAATCCTTGGTTAAACACCTAGCTAGCTAGCTAATTTTATGAGGATATGTTAAAAAGGAACTACATTTCCCAATTAAAATGACTTGAATGGCTGTCCCACTTTGCCAATAGCGTATTAGTAAACTGGAACAGTGTCAAAATTGCCCAAAAAAATAAAAATAAAATAAATTACATTTTGTGTTATTTTGATTTATCATTATATTCCATGGAAGTATTTACATGTAAAGATAAACATGATTAATCTTAACTGTCCCACTTTACCCACTATACCCATATTCAACCTATTTTTATTTTGGTCATTCATTGAATAATAAGAGTCAACAATCTGTGTGAATATTCCACTTAAAGTAAACAAAATAATACTCCATTTTACATGTTTAGACTGGTCAATGTCACACAATAAAAAACTAAATCATTCATTGACAAAAACAGCAATAGGCTGAGGCTCAATGCTTCCTATACAATCTCCACATTCTCAACTCATCCCTAAAGCTGTTCCATAGTTTGACTCCCAAAACTGAAACACGTTATTTATACATTGGTTCTCGCTTTACATATATATGACCCTCTTAAATTATTATGTCCTTCTCTTAATGTAAAAATTATGTTGGGAAGTTAACAACTTTCATAGCAAATGCAACTGGATGGTCATATCCTATCATACCATACCATATCATATCCTTTCATATCACATGATATCATATTATATATCTTGTAGGTCAAGGCATCCCATAAGTAAATACCTTCTTTGGCACTGGTCCCATTTTTAAAATGTCTAAAGAAAATATATATTTTTTACTATTATTATTTGATTTCTGTAAATCTCAATGTGTGGACTGCTTTCCATTTCATTGTGAAGTTGTATTGCTTAAAAAGAAAGCTACAGAAAGTATTTCAGAGAAACCATAATTCTGTGTGTATTCAGGAGATCCCCTGGAGAAAGTAGCATACCTTGTGTTAAAATATCTTGATCTGGGCGGATGTGGCTCAGTGGTATAGTGTCGTCTCTCAACCAAAAAGTTGGGGATTCCATCCCCAGCTCCTGCAGCTACATGCCAGATATGTCCTTGGGCAAGACTGGAAGTATGAATGGGATTAGTTACATATCAGCCTCTGCCATCAGTGTATGAATGGGTAGGTGTGACCTGCATTGTTAAAAATGTTTTTATAATTTTGAGTATTTAGAAGACTAGAAAAGCGCCATACAAGCTCAAGTTCACTTAGCATCCACCTGGTTACCTTGTGTCCATTTGTTTTGGAACTTGTGAAAGGGACCAAATAGTTCTCAAATACTAATTAACACAGTGTTTGCAGAGCACTTATTGATGAGGGCATTTACTGTTGATTGATCAACTTATTATGACATAAGTGAATCTTAAACTTTTCTCATAATATTAATTTGATTCGATACCAATTTTTTATTTATTGCTGTGTTTTTTTTTTACGAGCTATGGTATTTGATTATTTAATTTACTGCTAGAAGTCCCTTCTGTTGAAATGTTACTGAAACATGTTTTAGAAACAGTACACGCCTGCTCAGGGTTTGTCTAACAGAGGTCTTCTCTGCCCCAATAAAAAACCTCTCCTCTGAACCAGCAGTTAGGTATACTAGCTTGCCAACATTAAGTTGATGGGCAACAACTCCAGAACGGAGATGGATTTCAACCATTTAAGATGTATAGCAATCACAAATGCTGACACAGCAGCTTTTCACCACCATATCCGTCTTAACTCGTACTGGACACCTCAGGCTTTTATTTAAAAGATCAGCAGAGGCTGAGTATGTCGATTTGGAAAGCCTTTTATCTCATCTGATGGGAAATGTGAACAGATCTTCAGACAATCATCCTGGTAAGAGTGTATTTATTTCTCCAGAACACATTACAGAGTTAATTATTACTAGCTTCAGTACTTTTTTAGATGTCCTCAATTTCTTTTCCACTAGTTTGGTCTGTGGTTTGGCTATAGGGACTATCACAAGTCATAAGGATGTATTTTATTGGGATATGACAGAAAACGTAGTATATTAATTAGATTTAACAGTACTATGTTGGGTACAATGATGGTGGCACTATACAACAGTTCATTTTGCATTCATCTATAAAAACCCTTCAAAATTAAATCACAATGCAGACAGCAGATGTTCGGCTACTTTGTTCTGGACCTGGAACATAATGTTTACTGTGTGCAGTAGAGTCACATAACTGCATTTCTTGTTGAAAAGCAAATTAAGAAGCTGATCTAAAAAAAGATGAGGGGCTTCCCTTTCCCTGTGTTGCTGGTGTGTCTCATTATCCAATGGCAGCTGTTGTTGGATGGTTGGAATATCTGAATGATGACAGGCTTATGGCTGTGGGCAAATTATCTTTTATTAGTTTGTCAAAAGACATGCGTTTTAATATCAGTGCAATTGTTTAGCCTAGTCAACCAGCTTTCCAGGAGCTGATCTAGGAATGTGTACAAAATTTGCCTGTGAAGACAATAATCCAGCATGGATGCATCTTAACTGGCTTTAGAAGTTTTAACCTGTACACGTGTGACCCACTCCCAGTCTCAAACCTGATGAACCTGACTGCATGCATTGTATGAATTGATAAGGGCTTGACATAGTATAAAAAGATTTGTAAAACAGTATCATTGTTTCATAACATTAAAAAAATTAACACTGTTTTAGGTGTAACCTAAATGATGAGGGCTGAAGCTCATTGACATCCATTGTTGAGATGAGGCATGTGAATGAAGACAGTGAGACGATGCCTCCACTTTTAGTTTTTTTTTTTTATTGTAACAGGTTTCACCTTCATTTTTCAAGCGGTTTTTCTGTACAAAAGAAATAAGGTAAATGACAATTAATTGTTTGCCTTGTTAACAAATGAAATCTGAGCATACAAGTATCCTTAAAGATATGATGGTGCATCAATTAAACAATAAATCAATTTATGCTTAACAAACAAATATCATCAAACTTAAACAATAACTCACTTTTGGATGCACTCAGCAAAGAAATAGGGAAACAGGTCTTGTCAGAGTGAGAGCAAACAGAGCAATGAGCTCTCCTCATGAGAGACCTTCTTCTGTTGGGTTTTATGGCAGTTGGCCAATCCTTCCCTAAGTGTTATATCCAGCTCTTCCCCAGTAATACCCACAATGTCTAAAAACCTATTTGTAGCACCCAACACCATTTCACTTCTCTCAGTCTTTACCTGTATGTCTGCTGCGCAATCAATCACCATGGAGATGAAAGCCACACATGTATTTTCTTCAGTATTTCACCCCTCCCATTGTTGCTGCACAGTGACCTGCTCTTCTTTTTTCCCCCCATTATTTTCACAGCCTTTGTATACGTCAGTCTGTGCTTAGCTGGGATTTTGTTCAGTTTCACTTCGTTAATCCTTTTGGGGAACTGTGTTGACCTGAAATGGTTTCCCTTGCAGTAAAGGCATGACACGTTTTATTTTCCAATGATACAGTCAGCATAACATTCCTTATCTTCACATTTTGCACACTTCCTGGTTCTTCTGCAAACTGCAGCAAAACATACGTCTGTATTCCTGGCAGCATTAACACCGCAGAGGGGCTCTCTCATACGGCCTTGCTCTGTGGACAACATAGTCCATAAACACACTCTAGGGTATTTCTCCCTCAAAGGACAAACACACAGATATCATATCAAGGAAAGAGTCAGCATCACTACTCCTTCTTTCCTTCCTCCTTTTCCAAGTGGAAAACACAGAAGTCACTGAACTATATTTCAGTTATTAAATTTTCAGGGCCTTTTTGCAGTTTTGAGGACCACTCAATTATTACCATTCCTCCCCTTGTTATCCACACAGTCCTCCGAGCTTTTCTCCAACAAACTTTCCAAACTCATGAGAATACTTAAAGAGTCCGTCCGTTTGGGTGACTGCAATCATTCTAACCACAAAGCCATACAGGGTCCTCATTGTTTGACTTCCTTCGCTAGACAAACTATTCTTTTTCCATTCTTTTTATTTCTATACCCTATTGATTTTTCGTTGAATTTCACACTCTGGCTCCGATTCTCGCTCTGACTCCATTGGACTCTGGTGTGCGTAGCAGGCCCACTCCTTATGAGAGACCTGATTTGGGTGAGTGGATTCACCTGTGGCTGATTGCTGCAGCCAGCGCAGGTGTTTCTGTTGCTCCACCTTGAGCTTAGGGATTGAAGGCAGACATGAGCAATCTCAACAACCACCATTCAAAATCAGTACAGAAAGTAACACCTCCTGTATGTGTTTGTCTTGTGACAAAACACTGTTAAATCAAAGCAGATTATGAAAAAGTCAGGAACACAGAGGATGCTCATCATATATTTCACTTAAAATAGAAATGACTAACATGCATTGAATAACCAGATGAGCCAGTTGCCAGATCTCGTCACTTGCAGATCAACTATTTTATTTTGTTCTTGAAATCCCTGTCCATGCTTTTCTTCATTCTCAGGGTAGGAAGCCCAAATCTTATCATGTATTACTTTTAAGGTCAAGGCTTGTAAAAATCACAAATCTCAGCAATTGTTTACTTCCTAAGCTTCCCAATTAATAAAGCCACACAATAGATGCCATAAATATGGAGAGACATCTGGCCATATTTTGAGTCAAACATATTCAATATTCAATCCATCTTCTCCATGTAAATTTAAGATACTGAAAGAAAATGAGAAGCACCAACTATTTAAAAATTTTTTTGACAAATCTCACAGTTTACATGTCCTTAAGTGTGGAGATTTGGATTTGGCCTGTTACAAATACAAACCACTGTCTGTCTTTGACCTGCTACTTGTTATATATGAGTGTCTTTGAGCTGTCAGATCATGTAACAGTAGTGTTAAGAAGAAGGGTGTTTTAATACATGAAAGTTATTTTTACCTTAGACAGGAGTCACCTGATAGTTACTTATAAATGTTGCTATATTATACTTGGACATTACAACACTTGTTAATTGATGTTATGTTAACTGTAATGTTAATGTTAACTGATCAATCTGTAATTTATTTTCCCCTACGATTAAAAGATTTGTTCGTTGTACTTTCTTAATTTCCTGAAATGATCTGATATGTAAGATCAAGTCTGTTACTTTCAGACACATACAGATAAGTGGTTAAAGGAAGCCAGCTAATGGCTAATGGCTTCGCAGCAACAGGAAGCCCACAACTCAGTGTAGAGGGCACTCTCGGAGGAGAATGCTTTTTACACAACCACAAAAAGCTTATTAGGAGTTGTTAGAGGTCCAGGGCACATTGTCTTCTGTTTTGTCATGTTAATTTGAAACTGCACTTATCTCTAAACAACCAACTTATTGAGGTTGCCAGGCATATACTGTAGATCCAATCTGACTTACATTGTATCACTGCTTTCATCAGAATCAGAATTACTTTATTAATCTTTGTGTCTTTATGTGTGTTTACATACACACAATTATAAATATGTATATTGTGTGTGTGTGTGTGTTCATATCATAAAGAATGTAGTGACACTACTTTATCTTGAAAGGCCACTGTATGTATATATATTAAAGAGCCCATATTACGCCCTTTTTGGGGTTCGTATATTTAATCTATGTTCCTACTTTTGTACATTCACAATAGATAAAGTCCGAAAAAAGTGTCTGTTTTCATGTACTGCTCCTCCTTGCTCCCTCTACGCTCTGAGTCCGTCAGCTACACTCTGTTGAGCCCACACTGTTAGACCCCACGTGGGCCAAGTCTGCTCTGATTGGTCTGCCGAGCCGCTCTGTGGTTATTGGTCAGTTGCTCAGCATGCTTCTCAGAGCTGCAGGGCTTGCCACAACGAGCCAATGGGTTTAGATCAGTGATCTCACACTGACAATGACGTCGGACTGACAAATTTTTATCGAGGGGGGCTAAAACCGAGCGTTACATGCAGCTAATGCTACAGCTAACAGGAGGACATAGGAGAAGCCGCGTTTCCACAGACTTTGAATTTTTGGACATAGATGTGCCTAAACATGCACAGGACACTTGGAAAACACACTAAAGGGCATATAAAACCAGAAAAAGCATAATATGGGACTCAGGTAGGAACTCAGCAGCTTTGTGCCGGACTACACCTGGCTAAAAACAAACACAGCCCTGGGTGCTAACAAGGGTGCAAGTTAATTTGCTATTCAAACAACATGAGCGCTGGGCATAAAAATGGCAAGTGTGTCAAGTTGAAAACAGGAAAGACAGCTGAGCTGCTAGCTAACACTCTTTGTGCTATACGTACGATTGGGCCCTTAAGTATGGATCCACTTTGCACATGATGAATGAAAGCCTGGCTCAGAGTACTAGGGTTCAATATTCTCCAGGTTATTAATTTAATAATAAATCACTTGATTTGAGTAAAACCTTCTTAAAGCAATAATATTTGAATCTTACAGTTGCCATAGCTTCAAAGTACTAAAGTGTTCATTTTCTGTTCTTACAGGCTATGGCGAGATCTATCCAGTTACCCTTACCGGTAAGGTGGTATGTGTCTTGTACGCCATGGTGGGCATTCCTCTCATGCTTCTGGTCATCCTTGATGTGGGAGACTTCCTTGCAATGCTGATGACAAGAGCCTACATCCACATTCACAACTTCTTCAAAAACCTCCGCTCCCGCACCTGGTCCCCATGGAAGGCTCGGAAGAAGGCTGAGGATTCGAGGTGCCGGACCCTGGAAGATGGTACCTTTGTATTTAGCCATGATATCGTGGTCCGCCAACCTCTTGACATCCGGCAGGTGCTGCACAGCCAAGCGGACTTACGTCAGAAATCTATTCATCTCCAAAACAACAAAGAGATATTCGAGAAGATTCTTGCCAGGGAGAATTTAATCAGAAGGGGCCCACTGGTCAGGAGTCTCTCCTGCCCAGAACTAGACCGGCTGCAACTACCACGCAAAAATTACACCATATGGGACTTCACAGGTTTAGGGGATGGGATGGAAACACTGGATGTACCCTTTGTGCTTATCCTGTTTATCGTGTTTGCCTACATTTTGTTGGGTGGTTTGATTCTACCATTGTGGGAAACTTCAATCACGGGCTTCGACCCCTATTACTTTTGCTTCATCACGCTCACTACCATTGGTTTTGGTGACATTATACCCTGTCACCCAAATTACTTCATGGTTACCTCACTCTTCATCATCATCGGCATGGCCATTATGTCCATGGCTTTCAAGCTGTGCCAAACTCGACTTGTAATCTGCTACAACCAGTGCATCAAGTTCATCAGCAGGGGAAATTCGGAAACATTCAACGAAGAAGAGAATGATTAAGTTACCAGGGGAATATAAGCCTTATGTTCAAGAGTCATATAAGCTTACAGTCCTGGTTTTGAAACAGGCTCAAAACAGGAGAATGTTGGATCTAGTCCAGTGCGTTTTTTGCTGGCTGTTCAATTGTAAGCATGTGCAAAATAAAAAATGTGCATTTGTCAAAGCCTTTGCCCAGTTAAGGAGAGTTATATAAAGTAATTCCTATCTTGAAGAACTCTTGAAGTTCTTGAAGAACTTTTAACTCTGCATATCTAGAGTCAGTATCTTGCCATGGAATGACTATTAGCCATACTAGTGTTGCATTTGGCAATACGTCAGGTCTCTGAATTTCTTACTCTCTTTTAGGAAACAAAATAAAATGCCTCCTTAATTTTTACCCTTTCCAGTCGAAAGGCTCCTGAGCAGCACATTTCACAAGGAGTGACCTTTTTGTTTCAGAAGCATAGAGGATGACAACCATGTGATTTTTAAGCTAAACTTTGTTCATAAATTAGAAATAACATCAACATCTGACAAATTGTGTTATATTACTAAGAAATATAAACAGTATTCATTACCTCCACAGAAAATGTTGGCTGAGACCAGTTGAGCAAAAATCAAATCAAAATTAAGATCAAGAGGTGTTATTCAAAAGTTGTGATGATATGTCATTGAGCTCAAATTCCCACAGTCTGCATGTATCTTGTCTGGGTCCGTTTGTAAAGTTTTTAACATCATGCATGCAGGCTTTGGTCTGTTAAGAACACATTTACTTCAGTCATAAGCAGCTCAGTTGTTGTAACACGTTATATCTTTCACTGCCTGGACGATGTAAATGTTCTCCTTGTTTTCTTTATGCACCTTCATTGTTTATACTATGTATTCAGTTAGTTGTCATTCAGATATATTCATAATCAAATTTGGATTGTATATTTCAATTTACATGAATACAATTTCCTATGTAGCTTTAGAGCGCACTCACACTAAGCCAAGTTGTCCAGCAATTTGCTGAAGCACAATTGTCCCCCCCTCCCCAATTCCCCACTGGCCTGCACTCACACAGCTCTACGGGCCTGAGCACCTCTTGTACATAAAGTCGTAATACAATACATGCATGGCTTCACGTGAAGCGTGCTTAGCACATCAGAAAATAACACAAAGAACATGACTGCTACTCTACTGACTTTTGGCTTATTTTGAGTCATTTTAGTTTGAAAAAGCCATAACACTCCATGATGACTCGATAATGAAGGCTTTCCACGTGGTGTACTCGTGTACCTTGAGTAAGGATCGGAGCACACTAGTCAAACGAACTGGACTTTGGGGGTATAGCATGCTTAGGCACGGTACAGATTGCCTATTGTGTGTGTGCCCTTAGTCAATATTCCAGTTAAAGCTGGGGAATCATTTGTCAAAGAAGCTGAGAAGTTTTATCTTTGTGCCCAGAAACTATATGTTACACAGTGAATGATGCTCCTATTTGTTCCACAACTATTTGATTTTGCACAAATAGGCTTATTTACAGTCAGATATGTCACAACTTCCTTAAAGGCTGTAGTTATTTTCACACTATTACTACAATTACTTTTTTTTTTTTGCACTCAAGTTTAGAATTAAGATGTTATATAAGACCGACTGAATGGTCAAGATACTGAAGCAGCCTGTGATTAGGCGGAAGGAAAACTTCCCAACAGATTTAAAGATTGTAAAACATGAATTATGTAGATACAAAACTGAGGTGTTTTTGTTGCATATTATTATGGCCAGGGTAATATATTGTGTTTTACATGAATTGATTTTGTTCTTCAGAAGTAGCAGCAACACCTTGATGGACTTAAACATGGCTCAATTTTTAAGGTTTGGGTCTCAGTGCTAACAGTAAGAAGGCATTTGCATTTAAATCAATACAATTAAGTGCAGCCATAAGATTATACACAAAATAACGAATTAAACCACTCACTACTGCAATATGAACATAAGGGAATAGAGTACATAATGGTTTGAAAGATGTGGCTTTCTCTGATCCCCTTTAAATCATTTCCAGTAAGCACTTCCTTTGTTTTGCTGCTCATTTGTGACACAATAAACTTGTATTCATATTTCGTCACCATTCTGTGTTTTATTTGCTTTGCTGTGTACTTTCTTTTTGCATGAAATAGTTGGAAATTCCCTATAAGTATGAAGCCGTGTTTTTCCTCTGCTTGTATGGCATACCCATGTCCCTACCCCTGCATTAGAGCCTCAGACCTGATGACAGGCACAATATAAACATCCACCAGACGACTTGATCAATTAAGTTCTTTATTCCAGTTCAACACTATGCAATTCTTTTTATTAAAAAAAAAGTTTGTGTTTTTAAAAGGGGCACCTTATTCACTTATGAAGGTAACGTGTGTCATGATTTGGTCTTATTTAGTTTTGTATTTCAGTGTTTAGGTTTCCATGTTTTCATTTCTCCTGTCCATCCTAGTGTTGCTTGTTTCCCTTGTGTGTTTTTTGTCTTAATGTTTCATAGTTTAGTCTTAAGTGTTTCCTGTTTTATTTTGTAGTTTTTTTATCCTTGTGTTTCTTTCTTCTAGTGGTTATGTTACATTCTTGAGTTAACTGTGTATCTTTGTGTTTCTTGATTTATGTTGTAGTTCTAGTCTCCAGTGTTTCTTGTCTTGTGTTTACTCCTGCCTCTGTGTGTTTCCCTCCAGTCAATCAATCAATCAATCAATCAATCAATCAATCAATCAATTTTTGTTTGTATAGTGTCAACTCATAACAAGTGTTATCTCGAGACACTTTACAAAATCAGGTAAAATACCTTACTCTTTGTCTTTTAACATTACAAAAGAGCAGGTAAAAAGACCATACTCATTGTTATGTTACAAAAAGCAGGTAAAAAACCTTACTTATTGCTATATTACAAAGACCCGGCCTATCCATCATGAGCACTTTCGCAAAGCAGCAAAAGTTACAGTGGTAAGAAAAAACTGCCTTATTAAAAGGCAGAAATCTTCGGCTGGATCCCCGGCTCATGACGAAACAGCCTTCACAGGCCTAGACTGCGCCGGGCTTGGAAGGGGATAGGGGGAGAGATGGGATAAGATGCAGGAACAGGGATAGGGATAACAAGCCGTCCATCAACAATCCGGTGGGGAGGGGGGTTGTTCTGGCAAGCCGTCCATCAACTATCCGGTGGGGAGGGGGGTTGTTCTGGCAGGCCGTCAACCAACGATCTTGAGGAGCCTAAGAGAGCTCAAGAGCTCCCAGGAAAGTAGGTGGTTAGTGAGATTTACAGATAGATACATGCAGTAATATGATGTACTGTATATGCACAGAGAGAGAGAGAGAGAAGCTGAAGGTGCCAGTTCCCCCGGTAGTCTAAGCCTATAGCAGCATAACTAGGAGCTGGTCTACACCAGCACCAGCCCTAACTATAAGATTTATCAAAAAGGAAAGTTTTAAGTCTATTTTTAAAAATACAGACTGTGTCTGCCTCCCGGACCCCGGCTGGAAGACGATTCCAGAGGAGAGGAGCCCGATAACTGAAGGCTTTACCTTCCATAGTACACTTAGAGACTGTAGGTACCACTAGCAGGCCTGAATTCTGGAACTGTAATGTTCTCGAGGGGCAGTACGGCACGAGTAGCTCCTTAAGATAAGATGGTGCCTGGCCATTTAGAGCTTTGTAAGTGAGAAGAAGGATCTTGCATTCTATTCTAGACTGTACAAGGAGCCAGTGCAGAGAAGCCAACACAGGAGTAATGTGGTCCCTTTTCCTCGTTCTGGTCATTACACGAGCTGCAGCGTTCTAGACTAGTTGAAGAGTCTTTAGAGACCCACCATTGCACCCTGACAAAAGAGAATTACAATAATCCAACCTGGAGGTAACAAATGCATGAACTAGTTTTTCTGCATCATTTTGCGACAGGATATTCCTGATCTTGGATATATTACAAAGGTGAAAATAGGCTGCTCTTGAAATTTGCCTGATGTGAGAGCTAAAAGACATATCTTGATCAAATAGAACTCCTAGATTCCTAACAGTGGTGCTAGATGCCAGGCTGATGTCATTAAGGACAGTCACATCACTAGAAAAAGTCTCTCTGAGGTTTTTAGGGCCTAGCACAATAACTTCAGTCTTGTCTGAGTTAAGTAGCAAAAAATTTCTGCTCATCCAGGTCCTAACGTCCTTAAGGCATGGCAAGGAGGTTACCAATTTTGTCTCTGATGTCTAGAATTTTGTTGTTGAAAAAGCTCAGGAAATCATTACTGCTGAGGGCTAAAGGAATACTAGGCTCAATGGAGCTATGACTCTCTGTCAGCCTGGCTACAGTGCTGAAAAGGTATCTAGGATTGCTTTTGTTTTTCTCGATCAGAGAGGAGTAGTAGGCAGCTTGAGCGTGACATAAAGCCTTCATATATTTTCTATGACTATCCTGCCAGAATAAACGAGATTCTACCGTTTTGGTCGAGCACCATATTTTTTCAAAATTTTGCGACGATTGTTTTAGAGTACGGGTTTCTGAGTTGAACCATGGAGCTAGTCTCTGCCGTTTGATAACCTTCTGTTTTAGGGGAGCAATCGAATCAAGAATAACTCTCAGCGAATCCACTGCACTATCAACAAACTGATCTAGCTGAGAAGGACTAAAGAGTTTCCAACTGGGTTAAAACACAGCACTGAATCAAAAGCAGCTGAAATAGCTTCCTTAAATCTAGCTACAGCACTATCAGATAAACTTCTAGAGAGCACATTTTTATTAAGCAGAGATAATTCTGGTAGGACAAAGTAGAAAGTAATAAGGAAATGGTCTGATAGAAGAGGATTTTCTCGGAAAACTGTAAGGTTTTGGATTTCAATGCCATAAGCTAAAACAAGATCCAGGGTGTGGTTAAAACAATGATTAGGTTCGTTTACACCCTAGGTGAAACCAATAGAGTAATAATGACATGAAAGCTGTGCTAAGGCTGTCATTATCAACATCCACATGGATATTGAAGTCACCTACAACAATTATTCTATCACTGCTAAGGACTAAATTTGATAAAAATTCTGCAAATTCAGAAAGAAAGTCAGAAAATGGGCCAGGATGGCGGTAAACTACAACAACTAGAACTGGCTGAAAGGTTCTTGAGACTGGATGTGAAAGACTAAGAACAAGGCTTTCAAAAGAAGAAAAATTCAGCTTTGGTCGAGGGTTAACTAGAATACTAGAATTAAAAATAACTGCTACTCCACCACCTCGTCCGGTGTCTTGAAGTATATGAGTACTAAAATGACTGGGAGGAGTGGATTCATTTAAACTAACATATTCATCTCGACACAGCCAGGTTTACAGCCTACTATCCTACTACTTCATCTGATTAATTCAGTAAGGAAGTGGCGTCATTTACGTTACCCGAATCGGTCGCAATAACCCGTTTTTTTTTGTTGTTTTTTTTTAGCTTTATTCAAGAGGAGTAATCTGCATACGGTCAGGTAAAAAAAAAAAAAAAACAATATCACAAGTAAAAGACAGATTAAATAACATACAGTACATACAGGAAAGTACAAATGAAAAACAGTAATATACAGAATATAAAATAAACCAATAAAGACGCATTTAAATAGTGAAATCATTATTTAAATAGAGTGAAAAGGTTTTATAATAATGCAGACATTTGTTAATTTTTTTGTTGTTAACTAAAAGTAGCGATTTCAGTCGGGACTTTAAATTAAGATTAAATGAATCAATGCTTGTTTGTTCTGATTCAGAGGCGGACATGAAGTGACGATTTACGCTTCATTTCGCACAGCATTGTGGTGGTAAAATACAATTCATTTACTGAAAGCACGCATCCGGTTCATACTGCATGAAACCCGGAAGTTAGTATCCATACTGAAATGTTCAGTATACTGAGGTGGACCCAAAAAATGCATACTGAGTGACCGCGAAAGTTCAGTATGCTGAAACTCCCTACTGAAAAGTACGTGCTGCCTACTGAACTGTGGCTATTTGGAAAGGGCCTCTGTGTTTCTTTCCTTCTGTGTCAGTTCATTGTTTGTATGTCAGTTATCAGTGTCAGTAGATGTCCGGTTTCCTCGTGCTCTAGTGCTACTTGTGGTTTTCCTCGTGGCTAGTTTTCTGCTTTAGTAAGTTGTGTGTTTGCCTTTGACCATTTCATTAAAATAAATTGTTTTTTTGTTAAGCATCTGCATTTGGGTCCAGTTTGTTCTCAATCCTTGACAACATGTAGGTCATAGATAAGTATTATGAAGACCACTGCATGTTCTAGGTTTTCTAAAAACACTCCCTTAGTAATTGTGTCTAGATTGAAACAGACTTGTTGCCTAAATGGTGTCAAACCCTTTAAAAACAGCATGACAGGCATTTGAAATGTGTTACTGTAACTGAGGATAAGTGATGCACAAGATATTGATAATATTAGTTCATCTGTCGGAATGACAATAACTTAAGCAAATAACTGATATTCATAATAAACGTCTTTGATACATTTCCCATGAAAATCATTGGCTTTTGCAATTCTTTCCAGAATGTGTTAATTCCCCCTAGCTTTATATTTGGATTATAACCAGTCATTCCAACTTTAGTTAATTATCAATTCATGAATAAATTTGCTAAAATGTAATATATCACTTGTGACCTCCAAGACTGAAATTAGAAGGACTTATGTCTAAGCTTTTCCCATAACAATAATGTAGGAATACGATCATTCAAAAAACTTAACTCTGTCAACAGCTGAAATAAGACATTCCCTGTCTTTTACTAAAATATCATGATTGTCAAAATAGATTTTTCACCAACAAAATATTTTAAGAAATGTACCCTAATATTGCTGGTAATATAGTTGTCAAAATGTAGTTGACATTTTTTTATGAAGGAGGGCAGCGGCAACCTGGAGACAAGGAAGTGGGTTTACACACTGCATTTCAGGTGTATAGGATAAGCAAAGAAGATTTACTTTATTGATCCCCGTGAGGGGAGAGTTCAGTTTTTACACTCTGTACTCATGCAACACACACACAGGCTGAAGTATATACATACATGCACACAAACAGGATCATATGGACATGCACTAATGGAGAGATGTCAGAGTGATGGAGCTG